GACCACAGTAGGTTCGATTTCACGAAGAGCGAGAGCGAGAACAGTAAAGATAAACAAAGGAAAAACTGCTCAAAGTAGACAAGAGCACGCCATTTGAGTTCAGGCCTCCCATCGCTCAGTCCTATCATCTGTTACCCCTGTTCCCCTCTTGATCGTGACGGCTGTTGTTCGAAATTTCGGATAATGTTTTGAGGATTTCTTCCTGGGAGGCCCCAGAACGGATGACAGATATCATGCGAGAAACGGTCTCCTGGTCGCCATGACGAACCAACCCCAGAAGCTGCTGAAGGAAGTTTGTATAATATTCCGTGTCCTCGATGCGTCCGTCCTGGGACTGAGATTGTGCGATGGCGGCTTCGAGCTCAAGCTGCTGGCTACGCTGAGCGTTGGGATCTTGCCTAACATCAGTCAACATTGAGCAACCACATAAAGTGTGGCTCAAGTAGGTATAACATTTATGAATAGGAACGGATATTGAATGGTTAAAAAGGCTGAGCCTCCCACCTTTGCTCTCCATTCTCTCGTGTTCCCTTGTTTTGACGCTCCATGCCGGTGAGACTTTCTCTTATCAACCCTCTTTATCTGTCATGAACAACGTCTCGGTTCTGTTGTATGTACCACGGCGTTTGGCAGTCACTCAATGTGAAGAGGTCTAAACAAGTAATAGGCTGAATAGCTTTGCGACAACGTTTAGGGACCTACAAGGATTCCCAGGACCTGGATGTTTGTCGAGGTGACAAAGTGCCAATATTAGTGAGAAGCCGATCACCCCCTCTTCTCTCGTGGACCACGGAGTCAGTCTGTGAGAGGTTAAGGTTGAATTAAGCGCTGGATTAAGGCTGAATGATTGGTGTTCGTCCCACGCAATCGAATCCCTGACAAAGATCGAGAGTGGAGGCTAATCCTCTCTCTCTCCACTGTGGCCTGACAGACTGTAGAAACCCGATAAGGCGTAAATGGCGCCCGCCGGGTGAGCTTAAAATGACAGGAAGGAAAAAGGTATCTCTTAGCCAGTGTCCGCGGTGAGGGCAAGTAGCCAGAAGTTACCCGCGCGGAAAGATCTGGAACATTACCAGAGCTCTTGGAGGCTGGGGGTTTCTTGACGCGCCGTGCGCCAAAAATAGGCTATTGCGCGAATGTATGATATGGAATATTCGATATGGGGTCCCTTCTTCCTCCATGATCGGAAGAGTCGAGAAAGGAACAGGAACACTTTGCTCTGTGCAAGTCCGCATTTCACAATCCTATCTCTCCCAAATCATGCCACCTGAAGCTGTGAAGTGATTATCTCACGTAGATCTAGACGCGATTGAAGCTTTCACCGGATCTTGTCACCAGAAAACCCTCTCCGCGAGAATGTACTTCCGTCTTCAACTAGTCCGTGCCGTACGGCGACTCGGTAATCCCTACCAGCCAATCTTATGGTCCGGTCAGTCTCCGCTACCCATCAATCTAGGCCAGCCAGGAAGACAGCAATTCACAAATTGGCTTGCTTGCTCTCTTCATAATCTGCCTCGTCTTCGGTTATTTCAGAGATGTAAGTCAGTCTCAGTTGCGCACAATCATCACCTGCTGCCATCAGGGTTCGGCTGGGAGAGCTTAACCAACCAAGTCACCCCAACCAATAACCGCTAAGAAAGGAGACGACAGGGAGAGAAGTCCTTTTGTGCAAGCGTCCCCACCTACAGTCTCGCGAGAATGTTCAGTGCTCATGCCAAGCGACATCCTCCGAACACAAGTGCCGGAAATACCCCCGTTTACTCGAAGCAGCGTTGATCTCGCCGTCTGATCGCCCCGTCGCTCAGGCTCATATCCCAGGATAGTCTGTTGAGTGTTGCTATGCCCTTGCTACCAAGGGATACCGCTCGACATCAGTGCTCAGGTTCTTGCAAGCTGATAGGTGGCGATATACCTTGCTGCGGCGAAATGCTGCCAGCTCAGACCACAACACTGCTTGTCTCTGGATTGTTTGTACTGCAAGCATGGACGACGCAGAGAAGGGGAAGGCCGCGGTAGCAGTTTAAACGCGTTCCTTGCTCTCTTCTCCTTCTCACTGGAAGAAGGTTACCTAAGTGGTCGCCATCACAACGTGGGCCACGCTTCAGTCGGAATGATATCCGGTGACCGTCGTGAACCATGATCAGCGGGAGACAAGTTCACTGAATGACATATCAGGTCAATTATACAACCGGATATGGCCGGTGGATGTTGCTTCGGGGGAGCATTTGACTTTGTAAAGATACACGAAGTAGCCGGCGGGTGACATTTCGGACTGCTACTGGAGACCAGCTCAAGCATACAAACATGTCGTTTTTATCTCTGCAGTTTCCGCTATTTCCTTCCGATCCATGCGGAAAGCTGGGGTGCGTGCCACATCTTTCGCTCTGAGTCGATCGATACGAGAATGGAGTCCCGGATGGTTCACAGTCTTTCAACGGTATCAAAGGTCATTAAATCAGCCTGCATGGACAAGATAAATGAGAACCAAGAGATAGGCTGTTCATGGACGGTCACTATCTCTCAAGTCTCAGAGGCCTAACTTTGAATGCCAGCGGTGTAGTCACCTCAGGGGCGTACCGGATGCATCACTGATAACCTTCATGCACAATGCATGATCGAATACGACGAACTCTGAAGGTAAGCTTCGACATTTGACAGCCAAATGCGTGTTGCAGACCCATGGGGAGTACGCGTAGTCCATATGGTGGTGCTACGAGAATGTCAAGTGTCGACTGCTGCGTGTGATCGTTTCTGCCTTCCGCTTCCGCAACTGGGTGTCACAACATCGATAGTAGAATTCACGGTCGAGGAGGGAGATCGGTCGCTTGGTTGCAGAGTGGATGTTGTCTTGAAAGGTCAAAGCATGCCTTTGTTGACTTGAGGTTGACTCTGGATCTCTTGTGGACGGTATCGATGAGATGAACGCATGGTATCGTACGACTCGAGATTGGAATGACGTCCCAGGATGTGTGGCTACTGGACATATTTGTGGCTGCAGTGGACTGACTCATCGACTGCTAGCTCCCGGAATCAACAATACTTTCGTTTCGTGTCTGCTTCTTGGATCCGGGATAGGCCCTTAGGGAGGGAATTATGGAATCCATCCTGGCGTCACATCGGTCTTCGTCTCACTTAGTTCATTGAGGTCGATTTTCTCTCTTCTTGAGTTTTCCCGGACAGATTCGAGACGAGACGGCTTCAGAAGGTCTATTGTTCTCTATGATCGATACTAGTCATTTGGTGACAGAATGAAGCGGGGAATCAGTATTTTCCATCCGAGAAATATATGCGGGCCAGTTCTCGCGGTTTCCGATGGGTGTCAGCAGAAGCCTGCTAGAAGCGAAAGAAGAAAAGGGGAGAAAGAACCACGACAAGAGTTCATCCTCTGGCGCCGATTGGCGCCAGCCGGACCCAAATAGACGATGGGAAATAGTTCCTGAAGCCATGCTGCGGCTCCACTTGACGCCTGGTCACCAGCGTGAACCAGCAAACTCAACCAACAGGCAGTTCTCTCTGATGCAACAGTTTCTGGCTAGAACTACTATTCCTGGCCAGGAATGATGCAGTTGTTGGGAATTTACAACGAAGTTCGTCGCTGATAGGAGGTGCGGCTTGTGCGAAGCCATTGCTGTAAGCGAGTTAGCGGGACGAACTCTTGCGCAGAGACTTGAGCAAGGCAATAAATGGTTCTGCACTCGATATTTTGCGCGAGTCAGACCATGGTACTCAGTACGGGTTGCAAAATCCCATAGCTCGGGCGTTCTAGGCCGCCTGGTTCTTGACGTACTTATCTCGTAGATCTGCCACTGCCTACGAATACGGTATGTGCCACTGCGTGGCTTCTTTCCTGGATGAAACTGATCCGCTGAGTGAGAGCATTATTCATTTCGGGCAGGCACGTTACTAAAGGTTTTATCTCCTCGTTCAAGTCTTTGATTGAGCAGTAAGTCAAGAATAGCCCTCTTCCAGGATCTCATGAGGATTTGCTCTGACTTTCTGCAACTGGATGGGTGTAGGGGCCGAGCTAATGGGCCGGTTCCTTGGATATTCCATAAACCCAAGTGGGTTGCGACTGGAGGGCCTATGGCCCAATTGCTTGCCCGGATGCTTTTTCCGGAAACTCCAATTAGTCATGGGCGCTGGTTACTACGAAGAGACCGTCGTGTATACGCGACATCTCGATAAACACCATGTGTTGCTGAGTCTAGTTTCGGAGGATATTCTCACCAACACGAAGTAATTTGCCACTATTCTTGAGTGGTCGGGATCAACCATGGGTTGTGCCGCTCTACAAACTCTGCGAACCAGGATACATCCAGTGGCGGTCCCGATACAGAAATCTTTTTTCAGATAGAGATACATGGTAGCATCATCTATTGCGTCTATCACAGTATCAGACTGTTTACTTTGTTAATAAGAGCATATCGATCAATCTGGACGAAAACAAAGTATGGTTACATGGCACTTGGTCGGAGATCAGTGTATGTCCTATATCATTTTCAGTCTCAAGACAATGAGCCACCTTGATACTTCGAATTGGTACTCCCCACTGTAACATCTTTCTTAGATAGTACCTTTACTGAAGGGAATCGCTTTCATTTGAACGCGCTCAACTCCTCCCTTGATCCCTAGCAGCCTCACATTCCAGTCGAAAACAACCTCGCCCTTCCCCTTGATGAAGACAGTAGATATGTGCTCATCGCCAAGCAAAACAAAACACAAGACACCCAAGCATTCCTAACCCTCGCCATAGGAAACTACAGCCAATGATATCCCCCCAGCAATGAACCAGGATAACCGTATCGAGATGCTCAGCAATCCTCATCTCAACAGATCCCTTGCATCGTCTCGCGTCGTCTCCCTTCGCATCCTGGTATAAGTAGAGAGGTAGTCGCACGCACACCCATCCGCCTGCTTAACGATATACCATCCTCCTGAATACTGGTTGACTGCCCTAGATACCCATAAAGCATCTCATCCAAAAGACCAAACCATCCACAATGCAATTCAATCTTTCCACAATCTGCCTCGCGGCCGCGACCCTCTTCGCCTCGCACATTCTCGCAGCTCCTGCTCCCGCACCAGTCCCAACCCCAGTCTTCTATGGCGGACCTAGCGGTCACGACGCAGGCAACTCAGTCTGCTTCAAGAGCTACGTCTACGGCGCTGCATCGTGTCCTGGCCGAGCAGTGAGTGCATTCCCTCTCCCTCTCCTTTCCCTCTTCTCTTCCCTTCAATCTTCAAGTCAAAGTTCTGACGATATATCCAGTACGAGGATGGGACATGCTGCATCTCAGACGAGATCGAGCTCAAAGTGCCAGAACCCAAAGCGAAAGCCGCATATACGGGTGACGGTGCCGGTGCCGGTGGCGCCGAGTGATCTTGACCTGGCCGGTCTTCGAGCTTGTTGATATTGTATTCTTCTCTTCTCTTTTTTTTTCTTTTCTTTTTTCTTCCTGGACATAGCTGCATTCCCAACTTTGTTTTTCGTTCTCAACTCTGATGACTTATTTGATTTGTGATGTCTGAGGCAATGAAATACGGCGCCGGTGCCTTTCGAGCGGCTTGCCCTTGTTTCTTCCTTCCAGTATAGTTAGATAATATCCTGCTTGTAAGCGGAATCACTGGCTTGGAGCTGCAGATACTACGGTATTATCGAGTATGACTGGAGCTAGCCACCTAGCTCACTTATGTACTCCGCACCTGTGTAGCAGTAGCATTGCGATTGATCCTCGGGCATTTGGTCAAGTCTCAGCGGCTCGATCTGTAATAGACACTGGGCATCTGACACATTACGGATCGAGATACTATATTTACTTTCTGCGCGCCAGAGTTGAATCGATCAAACCAGTTGAACAGAGATTTCTCGTAATCTAGACAGTTGGCTATATATAGCTGAGCCTTGTGACGGTCCTGACAGGTAACTCTATTTATGTCGCTTTTTGGTTAGACGGGGGAGAGAGATATATATATATAGTTATGTATTGAAGCTGACCGCAAGTGTCGTCGTTTACATTCCAGGCTCGAGGCACACCACAGCTTCCCTTATGTACAGTTGCAGGGACATCTGGATCGTTCAAGGAGCGTATTATTGCTTATTCTATCTAACGTGTTCATGCCCATGCCTTTCAGCCCTGGTATTAAAATCTATTCAGTTTTCGCTGATCAATCAAAGAACGAAGCGCCAAAATAACCAAGTCGCCATGTCCGTTATCCATCATATCATATCGCTCTCAGGTTTGGATCTATAATTGTTCTTGTCTTCCAATTGCTCATAGGCAATGGTAGCACCACCACTACAGAATTTAAAGGAATGCGGTCCTTTGGACAGTACCAAACCAAGGCCTGCAGCTTTCCATCCAGAATCTTTTAGAGGCCGCTCACGAAGTCTCCTGCTTCAACATGATGGGTAAATCGAGAGCACTCGGAGCCTTGATCACCGTTTCGGTAGGAGTCTTTCCGGCCAAACTCTCATTCCAGAGGGAACTGCTGGCAGGAAAGATCGAGCCACTGTCGGACATGTCTGCAGCGTTGGCATGCGCAGATGGGGTCTCAACGTGAGGCACCACAAGTTCCACACTCTTGGTGACGCCGGCGCCATTGGAAAAGTAGGGATTGTGGCGAGGAGGCAACGGACGATGAGACGGGTCGGGCAGGTAACCGATGTAATCTGATGCCGTGCTACTAAAAGACGATGCCGTGGTTGATGGTGTATGGGTCAAAGACGGAACAGGAGCCGTTGCGCTCATGAGCGTGGATAGGCTGGCCGAGCTGCGGTGACCAGCACCGTCGCGACGCCTCGAAAACGACGGTGCGCTGCCGTGGAATTGAGCAAGATAATGCCAGGCCTCCGTCGACGCCAGCGACCCCGTACTGCCATGAGCCGCAGGTATTACCGGCTTCCATTCGGAGGGGTCCTGATCTACCCTGGAGTCATGAACGTCGGTGGGTATCCCGGTGGTCGGGGTGGATTTGACGGGGACCTTGGTGGGAGTCATCGGAGCAACAATCATTCGAAAAGAAACGAGAGGAGAGGTGGGCGGAGAGGTGGGCGGAGATCTCGAGTAGGGTATCGAGCCACTCGATGGGAAGGACGCGGAGAGTGGCTTGTGTGAGTCTTTACGACGACAGCTGCAGATATGTAGTGTGAGCAGATGGTCATCAAGCAGAGTAAAACTGACGGTTTATAAAGGCCACAATGGGTGCTTAGACAAACGGAGAGATAAAGATAAGAGATAAGGAGTATGCATACCTTTCACTGCAATAGAGAAGAGAATTATCCGGCACCGTGATCTGTCTTTCGCACATGGCACTGCCAAGTTGATTAGCTCTGATGTCCAAGGTATGCAAGGATGGGCATCAATGATAAGGCCCGAATGGGCCAATTGGGAGAGGTCCAGGTACAGACGGGTTCTCTCATCCCTCTCTATTCCAAAAGAAGATAACGAACGGGCAACAACATACCAGAAATTCAAAAAGCTGGCCGCCATGTCGGGCTGACGGTCGCTTTCGGCCTCCGGACGCCTGACCTGCCCAGAGCCTAACTTCGAGATGGAATGATTCACAGAATATGTACCTTTCCGATGTAGCGCCGGTCGCGAGGTCCTCACTTTCGAGCCATTAGAGGAGGGAGTGCGTCGATGATGAAGATGGGAGTTCGATTGAGTCATGGATAGCGGTGAGGATGTATATACTCGCTCCAATTCTATTTAGATAGAGATAGTCTGCCAATGGTACCTTGCGCCGAGTGGACGCCTCTTCCCAATGGACTAGAGGCCTGGAGCAGGTGTGGAGCACGAGCTTATCCCCTAAGGGGGGGACTAAGTATGAGGGATTTGCGACGATACGCAATTGGATCGATCAATTGTCTCAGACTGTCGTACCCGGCTGTGTTTATTGCTGCAGCTTTGCGGAGATTTTTGTAATGTCCTTTCCCCTTTCTTCCGCGCCTTTTTTTTGTCCCTGTTTTCAGGCAGATGATGTCTGTCAGAGGAATGCTGAGGGAAATACAGGCCTCCGCTCGATAGACAGCTATGTGTAGCGTGACTATCCACGAAATTCCCGGGCCGGTTGAGATAACAACCGCGATAAGCTTTTGCTTGGGATTGCAACGCGTGACTGCAGTGACACATAAATGGTTAGATAGGTCACAGTTCAGTTGCACCAAGCGGCAGTGGGCAGGTGGGCTGGCCGTTATCACAAGCTTCTGAATGGGGAGAGATAAGGGAGAATGATGTACAGGACGCAGATATGGCTGTCACAAAGGGCAACAGGATACAAGCATACATACCAGCGAAGATGCTAATGATTTTTTCATGCAATTTTCTTGTTTCCTTCTTGATCCTCGAAGTTGGGAGCTGGGATTGGTCGACAAAGCACGTGCAATTGAATAACGAGATCTGCTTGACAGTGGGTGGATAATTGGATATCGGGCAGCTGACGATAAATCGCTCGGAGATCAACAACCGGGAATGAGACAGGGATACTGTAAGCCACGGCAAAAGCAAGGGTCGACGATCAATATAGACGAGTGGATGGATGTGCTTTGATAAGAATAGATATGAAAGTCAAGTCGATCGGGAGTCAAGATGGATGAAACGACAGTGATTATGTATGCTGATGGATTGAGAGTACCCTGTAGATAGGCCGTTCGGTAGACTCAGAAAAGGTGGTATCCGAGCACGGAGGAGGTAATAATTGGGAGCCGGTCTCAGCGCCGAGGGAAATTCTAGAACTTCTGACCAGCAGTCCCGCTACATGGAGAAAGCATGATGCACGCAACTCGTTAGCCTGTTGGTCCTTTCCAGAAGAGATTCCACACAATACATCTTCAGTATTTTCCTTAGTATCCAATAATAATAACAATTGATGATGGGATCGATGGCTGATGTCTCGTCCTTTGTCAACAGACGAAAGGTGAGTCACGCCATCATCATCAACATTATTATTATGATGGAGCAAAAGGTCTAGAACGGATGCTGGTGCCTGAGGTATCAATTGGAACGCGCAATCCATGAGTGCATTATGAACATTTCAAGCAGGTAGGGTAGTAACGAGGTAGTAATAATAACCATAATAATAGATATCATAATACTATAATAATAAGATCGCTTACCTCACCGCAGAAGATGATGATCTAACCGTCTCCGGCGGATGCGCAATCGGGTAGGTTTGGCGGGCAGATATGATGTGCAAATGCTGCAAGATCCGCAGTATCTCGTTCTTTGGTTCTAAGTTGCTAATTTAGGGGGTTCAACCGTAGTCGATTGTAAAGACTCAGTTCAGTGAGAGATCTCAATGCTCTTATATTCATCAGACATCCGGATACCCCGCGGCACCGAGCAAAAATCTTCTCTGACTGATGGAGGGGTCAAGATAAGACGAAAACGGCTGATCATCGTTCATTCTATCCTCGTCTAGATAATCTAGTCAAGATCACCAGATAAAGCTAAGAACCTTGAAACCATCTATTGCTTTTTCGCCCTTCCGATCGTCTGCCAATTTTCTGTTAACCGACAGAGCCACGACTATCGGGAATTGGGATCAAGATAACAATCCAATCCAATCATGCCCCTCACGTTGATGATGTGGGAGTTAATGGGACTGCCAGGTCAACGCCAGACCAGCCCAGCGCTGGCATACTCATTGGCACAGACACTCTGGCAATGTTCGGGCGTCCATACTCGGCGACACGGTTGTTGACGGTTGACTGCAAAGGGCGAAATCCCGCTCCCCACACAAAGCGGTCGAGGGGTCTAGACAACTCCGTCCGGAAGAGGTTGTATCCATAGATTAAGAGCACGTTGTAGCCTGGTACAAAAAATCGGATTACTTTACGTACGTGCATAGAGACGGTCCATACACTGACTTCTACTGCAGACCATTTTGATGGATCGGCGGTTGTGACATCCAATCATTCATGCCATATCATGGAGGTGTGGCCGATGTCTGAGCTGATGATCGCGGCCTCAGTCCCCGAGACAGCTTGTATGTTTCGAAATTCACGAGTGATCTTAATGGAATCACCAGACGCCCTAGTGAGCGGCGTGAGGCGAATTTCTGTGCTATTGGTCGATTGAGAGAGAAATACAAAGCGATCACTAGAAGTACGGAGTCGCTCAGACTTGCACTAAATAGATAACGGAATAGGCTTAAGGTAGGTATGGGCGAGATCGACAATCAATACACTGATAACAACCGAAACCCGTATGTAGGAGCAGAGGCCTGAAGAATTCGGTGGGACACACTGACAACATAATACCAATCTTGGAAAACAGACAAAGAGTAGATACATCATTTCTTTCGTCATCCATTACCCCATAGTCGACAAAGTTTTCATTCACTCAGAGTTCTCCACGGTTCTATGACACGCCTTGCTCAATTCCCCCGTAACAACTCACTCACCTGGTGACCTGATCCTGGGCTCATCAACTCCAGGTCATTGCCTGGTGCACAGATACAACACCAGGCTCCAAGCTCCAAGCCAAACTCCAATGATCGACATCCATACCATTGCGGGAATATACAGTTGACTAAGCAAGGTAGACCCGTTTCAAGGCACTACTCGTCAGTCTACTAAGGTAGAAGGCGAGACATAATCCTCCCAAGGTCGGCAAGTTCAGTACTACAGATAAATCTCTCATGCACACGACCGACAGCCTCACTATCAAGGTCGAACGCCTCCTGCGTCGTGCATCCTCGTTGCAAGCATGCAATGCTGTACGATGAGCACTGGACACAGCCCATCATTGATTTCTGATTCTCGGTCCAGATCCCAAGTAAAGTCGAATCCGCGAGGCAATATCCTACTGGATACGGAGTACATAACCCGAGTATTCTTCTGGTGAGACAGTGCGGTGGACGTTGTGCGACTCTCCCTGCGCGGTTTTGTACCCAGGTACTTAGGAGCTACATTATGCACAGGGCACAGCTACTGCTACCTTCGTAGAAGAGGCGAGGAGCGAATAACCCGACCACCAAGGTGAAATGAAAGAGATTAATACTGCGGTTATCTGCCCATGACCTCCACAGAGCCCAGAGTATGGTACGGCAGGCAACGAGCCAACTTTCCTAATCCGGACACTTCTTCCCCTGCAAGATGAAATCGACATCAAGGTACTCCATCTCCGTACCCTGCTCATTATCATCCCAGACATGCACGCAGCACATAGAAGCCAAGGTCCCCCGCCCCAGTATGCAAAAGCCGTATCCATGACCTAAAATGATACAATCTCTTCCAAAGTGCAACCCCAGGAGAATACTTAGCTCAGGTACCTTCCTTTTTTCACATGCGTTTTACTCAATCAACCTATCTCCCTCAACGCTTACGCAGTTGCCGAACGGGACAGGGCTCAGGGTCCCGTTGCCTTCCGTCGACTAGCCCAAGGACCGGACAGAGCAAGGTTTGCCACTACCGTGGATTGTCTTGAGGTTTACATGGGCCTGGAGAATGGTGTCATTCATTTTCCTGGTGAGAGTATACAATGGCATAATGATGTGATATGTGATGTGATGTTCCAATGTGATACAAGGAGTGATGGACTTGAGTTAACTTCGTGCATGGGTGAGGTAATTTATCTTGAGCATCTCATCTAAAGCTGGTATGATGTAATAGTTGCTGGTGATGGCTTACCGGGGTTGAACTGTTGATCGGCTTCGAATCAGTAGACGTACAACAGGGCAATGCATGCATCCCGGTATGCAGATATGGACGGCAAAGTCTATCACCTTAAGGATTAAAGGTATAGTAAACTCATCTGGGTATCTAATCTACACGACCTATCATACAGAAAAAAGGCGCATCCAGTCAAATGGGCACTGCCCAAGTGGTAGGGGAGCCTTATCATGGCTTATCAATGTCCATTGGATCCACGCCTCCCGCCGCCACAGGTGTTGGTGTAGCAGGAGCAGCTGGCGCAGTCGGATTGGAAACACCTCCGGGAGTCTTCATCTCACCCTCTGGTTTCCCAGGAGCAGCAGACGCAGGTCCTTCCTCAGCGTCTTTGCCATCTTTCTTCTCGCTCTGTTGGGTTTCACTTGGGGCGTCAGGATTGAGGAATCGCGCTGGCACTCCACGCGCCGCAACACTGACAGGACCAACATAACAGCCTAGCATGGGGCTCCAGGCAGACTTTTGGGCAACAGTCCGTCTGATTTCTCGATACGCATATGCGTTGGCAAATGGGAGAGAGGTTTCAGGGTCCCGATACCGTGAAGGAAGAGATGTGATAACACAGAGTGACGAGGAGATTTCTGGAGAATAAGTCAGCTTGGTCGTCCAGACGGAGTGGCTCTGACAAAGTGCACGTACTGGTCAGCCGGGGAGGCTTTCTGGAATTGAAATAAATGCTAAACTCGCGACTCTGTGCAGTCTCCTCATCAAAGTTCTCGAGAATCGTCAGACATCGTCCAGTTTGCTCGACCACCGGAGGCGGAGCAGGGATTTGGGGTTGTGGTGCGCCGTCACTTGAGAAGGCAGGCTGATCCACATGTATCTCAGGCGCTACTTGCTCCTGCTCAGTTGATACCGACACTTTTGGTTCCTCTTGCTGGCCTGTCTGCGTAGGCTCGGCAGCAGGTACTTGGGCAGCTGGCAGAGAAGTAGGAGGAGGAGCCACTTTAGATTCAGACGAGGGTTTCTCGTTCGTTGGCGCTTCAGCATCCGGTGTCTTAGAAGCACTGTCCGGCTGGACTCCCGACAGCGGCGCTTCCGGCTTCGAGTGGTCGGGACTCGGCGCAGGGTTCTCTTCCCGTACTTGCGCTGCCTGTGTCGGATCCTTCGGTGCTTCGCCCAGCGATTTTGAGCCGGCTGCTGCCGTCTCGTTTTCCTGTGCAGCCTCGCCAGTAGTTTTACTTTCGACTTCGACTGGTTCTTTAGACGTGTCTGTCTCTATTTTTGGCAGCTCTGAATCAGGGGCCTTCTCTGTGTTTGCCGCAACGGGCGCTGGTGTTGATTCAACTTTTCGGACGGGATTTGTGGACTCTTCTGTAGCTGCAGAGCCCTCTGGGACTGTTAACTCTTCTGGGGCGGAGGTGGCCTGCGTAGGCTCAGATGCCGTCGTGGCTTTGTCTGTGTCTTGCACCTGAGGAACGGACATTGTCTCCTCTGTTTTCTGAGAAGCCTTCACAGAATCTTCTTGAGCAGGTGTTTCTTGAGGCGTAGAGGGTCCTAGAGAAGCGGTCTGCGAAGTAGCAGGCCCTGCTGGAGCATTTTGAGCAGGCTTCTCTGCCGTAACCTTCTCTTCTTTCTCTTCCTTCTCCGTCTTCTTGCTTTTCTTGCGCGTAGGCTCCTCCTTCTCTGGTTTCGGTGTAATGTCAACTTTGCCCACCCGCGTCAAACGGCCATTGACCCATGTAGCGATGCCGCTCCAGTAGGATACGACGGGTCCCTCCAGACGACGGTTCTGTAGCGCCTCGATCTTGGCTCGTCTCTCCTCGGCCTTCCTCTTCTCCATCTCCTCCCATCGGCTCAGACTCTTGCTATTCAACCTTTCCACCCGTTCAGCTTCCGCTAAACGGTCCGCCTGCGTCATCTCTTTCGGTTTCAGATGCGCTTTCCTCTTAGCAGCTTCCTCCATAGTCGCGATGAGCCGGATACGTTTCTCCTCGCTATCCTTGAGCCGCGCATGCGTAAGCTGTTTGTTCTGCATCGTCTGACGGCGAGAAGAGGACCTCGTAGGCCCATCTTCAATGGTGGGAAGCCACGAGATACGTTCTGATTTCTTCTTGGGTCGAGGGGCAGGTACTGCGGAGACGGCGGAGGGATCGATCTTGACCTTTTTCCGGGCCAGTTTCAGTCGTAGATCTTCGCGTGCTCTGCGTTTCTGTCGGTCGGCTTTGGCTTCCTTTTCGATCTCTTTCTCGCCTTCGAGATCATCGCCGCGCGCGTTCGGGCCTTGGTCTTCGTCGTCGGAGGAGGATGAGTCCAAAGCCATGTCATCCTCTTCTGCTTCTTCCTCTGCGTTAATTGAAAATTCGTTGTCATCGTCTACTTCCTCGAACAGGAGCGCGAGCTCGTCGTCTGCTTCTGCGTTCAGAAGCGCTGACAGATGGCGCCCTGCTGTACTTCGTCTCGCGCGTCCCTGGATGAGGGACTCCACCACCTCTCCTTCCACGGATGTTTCCTTGTCGTCGGCCATCGTGTGGATCTGATGGTTGACTGTGCCAGAAGGGCGGGATGAATCGTCGATGTTTGAGGACGTGGCTGCGTCGACGTGCAATATCACGTTCACGTAGAAGACATTCGCTCTATGTGACCCACAGTCATTAACAAATGATGTTTAGCAAGCGAAAACACCTGCGCAATAAAGTTGTAGTAGTACAGAAGAGACGGAATGAAGCTCGTATCAGTCAATGGCCGAAGCTATCTAAGGCGGTAAAGAAAGTTCATTCAAGGTGGTACGTTGGTGGCGGCCATATGCCTCAGGCCGTAAGGCATGTACAGGTGCCCTCAAATATACAACATTATTTAGGTAGTACTGCAGTTCTTTCTCCAGCTGCCCACCTCAGCCACCTGGTTCCTGTCCCTTATCTACCAAGGCACCATCTTTCAGTTCACTATCTATAATGGTTTGTTGTTATTTGCGGTAGGAAGCATTAGCCATCTCACCGGCGTTGACGAGCCACAGCGCTTCTTCGCGGAAGCCGCCACCCTCCTGCGTTCCGGCTCAGGACGCGCATATGTCCCCATTCAATCCGATCTGATATGTCGGCGCTCGCTGAGCAAATGGAGACTCAATGAGGATACCTGGGTGGAGGTGCGGGATGCGGACGAGCTGACGAGCTTGCCAGTCAGCTGCACCCGCGGGTTGTTTACAGGCAGTTTCCTATCCACCGCTCCACTGTAAAGAAAGGAGTGAAGTATGACAAGTATAGCTTTCAGGTGGTTGAGAGGGTTGGATTGGAGGAGAGGGGTATTGGGAAGTAGATATGCTGCTGCAATGGGCACAAGAGGCACGTTTGAATGGGTAGAAGAATTCAAGAGTTCTCATGAGGAGTACCTTGTTTCTGAGAAAGTGCGGTACTGATACCTAAGAAGGGGGGGGAGGAGCCGCAGAATATGGCAGGAATTCCTCACGAATTCTTGTCAACCACTGAGGCATAATTCTCCCATGAAGTACGGAGTAATGATTGGTCCAAGGACCGGTACTTTCTATGGCCTTATTCTTCTTGATCCCTCACAGAGTTGAACTATTTGTGGCCGTCAACCAATTGAATGACAGCGTCAGATGCATCACACATGATGGCTGGAATGCGGGGGCTAGGTCGTTTCAGAAACATCCAGTTTGAGTTGCTGTTTCAAATTGTCCCTCTGTGTTTATGGACGTAGTGCCTTAGATAGTACCAGAGTACACCAGTCACCCATGGGTATGAGCCGATAAGTAAGTATTATTATGGGAACATTCAGTATAAGACAAATTGTTACACATAACACGTTCTGACAGATTTCAATTAGATGGGACATCGATAGTACGACGTGACCAGCAAATCTACCTGGATGTAGGTAGATCGATACTGAGCATTTCTAGAAGAGAACAGAATCGAGCCATTGTAGCAAAGCGCGAGAAAATTATACGAAGCGGAAGGCCGGATGTTGCGCGATTTCATAGCAGGCTACAAGCTCCCATACTCCGCACCTAGTGGGTCAAGAGTCCATCGAGGATCTCGAGTTCAGTTCTCTTGATGCAAGTCAGATCAATGGATTGCTTTCGAGTTGGGCGTTTAAATAAACAGAACCACAGTCGGTCAACTGCATGATACTTATCGAAACAATTCTAAGATAGTCGCAATGTCTATCAAGTGTCAACTAGGAATTCCAACCGACATGACATTTCCGGGATCCGGCAACTTAGTTGGTACCTCAGGAACCAAGCCCAACCAAACCAAGCAAACTTCCCTTTTCGGTTCCCTCGACCCAAGTTCTTCTTCGCTTCCTCAATCCTCTCTCACTCAACGAGCCAGTACGCTAACCTGGCCAAATCCATCAATCCTCTTATCATCTACTACTTGTTTCTCCCCCTTCTCTCCATCTAATTCCTCTTTCTCTCCCGAGTTCATTTCTATATTCTCTTCTTAAAGAATCTTTTCCCTCTTAAGGATTTATTTAGTGACCGCTTGCCGCCTGTCATTTCTCTACTCTTCATCCTCTCTTTATTTTGGCGTTGCCTCTGCGGAGCCGCGCACCTCGTTTTCCAGCCACCTCGTCCCTTTCGGATTCGGGTCAATCATCACTTCTTCTTTATCCCACTCACTCGGCCGGTCATAGCTTGAGCGACATTTTTTGTTACTTCACAGTCCTTCCAGGGCGTTCTCTAGAGCGACGGCAGTGATAGATCTTAAATCTGACAACCTAATATATCAGCACCGTGGCAGCTTGGCCTTCCAAGTCACCCGTCAGTTAGCCGCTGCTATCGTCTACGCATTTTATAGACGGTTACATTTAGCCATATTGATATCCATCGCGTATATTGTCTCGTCCTCCGAACCCTCGGCAGCTGTGCGAAACTTGCGAATATCTCCTGCGACAAAAACACACCAGATCTGATTCCGCCACGGGCAACGTTCTCCGGGCGTGTTCCACTCGAGTTCACCTTTGCAATCTGCCGGTCAATTGTCGATCTCGTTACTTCGGCAAGATCAACGACGGGCTTTTAGTCAGTATCTGTACGAGTATCCGGAAGTTTACGTTGTGCCCCATGGTTCCTTCGACTCAGATCTCCAACTGAAAATCGCTTTTCGTCATACTCAGTCACTCCGGTACAAAATTTTTTTTTGCTTACGCATATTATCGGCTTTGTATCTTGGAAACAGCAGTTCGCCTTTTAAGGTGGAGGGTTATAATATATAATGCTACCCGTCTCTCGACAGGAGGGTCACATGAACCTCAATTATATCCCAACGACCCAACCGATGTCTGGGACTTCTACGGGGCGCAGTTCCCCTAGCGACTTGTCCGCATCTGCCGCTGTCAAATCTGCATTTGGACCTGCCAATGGTCTTGGAAACGCAGGGGGATCAATTGGAGGCGCAAGGCTAGGGGCTGGATCCCCTTCTCACGAGCTTGGCGCTCGCTTATATTCGAAACGGTAAGTTGCAAAATTCAGGACCTCATACTTGCGCCTTTGTTCTCTGTATTGATCATTCTTCTTTTCTATACATAGTGCGCGAGAAATCCAAGCGGAAGAAGGCGTTTCGCCGAGTATCTGGGGCCCCCCTACTAGTGGCCACTCGACCCCGTTGCGCGAAAATATTCCCGAGTCTCCTAGCCAGGAAGGGTTTCCTGACTTGATACCTACGACTACCGGATCGATTAATGGTCCCGTCAGACGTGCCAGGGCTGGCACAGTTCCTTCGCGTTTTTCGCCTGTTGGCGTTTTGAACGAGGCGAACCTTCAACAGACCTTCATATCTCAGACCTCTCGGCCTACACCATCCACGAGCCCCTTCCGTCCTCCTGGCGTTTCTGGCATCGACACAGGCGCAAGGGCAGCAACTACTGCCGGTCCAAGCAACGCGGGCACCCTCTCGCGTCTCCGGGCTGGTTCAATGCCACAGAGGACAAATTACCTTGCATCATCCAGTCCTTTCGGGCCTTCTTTGTTTTCCACGAACTGGTCGAGTGCGCGAGATCGAGCGACGACTCTGACGAGTATCCGGTCTTCAGAGGGGCCTGCATCACCCAGCCAATCCTCATTTTCGAGAGACGGTCTTGCGGATACAGATGTAAAGACTTTGGACTACTTGGGACTCGCGGAGACCCCCCAACAAGCACGAGCCAACCTTGTAAGACCATCTGTCGATGTTCTCTTGCAGCAACAAGAGCAACAGCAGGCATCTGCGTTGCCGCCACTGCTTGCTGAACTGGCGATGATGAAAAATAACAACCGGTTCCGGTCTTATTCTGTCAATGCCAAGGAGAAATACGCAGACGATGAGGATCTTGAGTATGCCACTCGCTATTCTCAAATTCCTTCTGGCACCGTCACCCCTTCTGCCGCAGCGACAGCCGCTCAACTGGCTGCGACGCAGGCCCAGATCCATCAACATAATCTTGCTGTGCAAGCATTCGCCAATCATGCTTCGGTCAACCGACCGCGAGCAAGAACGGCCGGTGTGTTAGAAGCTCCTCCGCAGAGATCTTCAATTCGCAACTATCTTGCTACTCCGTCTCGCCTCGAAAACAGCTTCAGTGCTGCGGATCTTCATATTGCCGAAACCGGTGAATACGATGAACTATCCGAAGCCGTGCATATGATGAACCTCGGAGGTAATGGTGGCCAAAACCTGGGTCTTCGCGCGAGCGGAGAGGCTGCTGACGAAAGCAACCAAGATGGGCCCACGCGAGCCTTATGGATTGGCAGTATTCCAGTCTCCACGACTGTCACCTCGCTCGAGGCGATCTTTGGCATGTATGGCAAGATTGAGTCTACCCGTGTTTTGACGCACAAGAACTGCGGCTTTGTCAACTTTGAGCGCCTGGAAAGTGCCGTGCAAGCCAAATCGTTGCTTAATGGCAAGGAGATCTTCCCAGGGGCAGGTCCCGTTCGGATCGGCTATGCCAAAGTCCCCGGCAGCTCCGCATCTGGCACCCCTGGGCCTAACGGCGTGCAGTCTTCCCCCACTCCTGACCCGAATTTCAAGTCTGGTGTTTCCGAAGGCCAGGACAAGTCTGACGCTGTGGGCACGTCTGCGCCCCAAATTCCTGCCCTACCCGACCTTCAACCGGAAATGATCCAGATTGTCAAGGAATTTGGCGCCACCGATGATGATACACTCAATATCACTGCGGCTATTCAGCGAGCCATCGCATATCAAGCCTTCGAAGACGAGATCCCTCCTATTCCTGAACCCAGCCAGACCAGGATGTTCGATGCTCCACGTCTTCGAGACATCCGCAAGAGGATAGACAACGGCGCTTGTTCAATTCAGGAGATTGAGGAAACTGCAGTCTCAATGCTTCCAGAGATTGCGGAACTGTCCTCCGATTATCTGGGCAACACTGTCGTTCAGAAACTCTTCGAGTATTGCTCAGAGCAGACTAAAGAACAGATGCTCGTTCCCATTGTGCCCCATTTTGCTGAGATAGGTGTTCACAAGAACGGTACCTGGGCCGCTCAGAAGATCATCGATGTCGCCAAGACCCCCACACAGATGAAGATGATTGTTGATGCTCTTCGTCCCTACACTGTGCCGCTTTTCCTTGACCAATACGGCAATTACGTCTTACAATGCTGCCTACGTTTCGGCGCTCCATTCAATGACTTCATTTTCGAGACCATGCTAAGCCGTATGTGGGAAATTGCTCAGGGACGCTTCGGCGCTCGAGCCATGCGAGCCTGTCTCGAGAGCCACCACGCCTCAAAAGAACAGCAACGGATGCTTGCGGCTGCCATCGCCCTTCACAGCGTACAGCTCGCGACAAATGCAAACGGCGCCTTGTTACTAACTTGGTTCTTGGACACCTGCACATTCCCTCGTCGCCGTACGGTACTCGCCCCACGACTTGTTCCTCATCTGGTCCATTTGTGCACTCACAAGGTCGCTTACCTGACCGTGCTCAAAGTGATTAATCAGCGCAACGAGCCCGAGGCTCGCGAGATTGTTTTAAGGGCGCTATTCTTCAGCCCCGGGGACGAGGTCTTGGAGAAGATCTTGAGTGACCAGACCTCTGGGGCCACACTGATCTTCAAAGTCTTGACCACGCCTTTCTTCGACGAGTCAATGCGCGCAGAAGTCGTGAAGAATGTGGCAAAGGTGCTCACAAAATTGAAGGCAACTCCCAACCAAGGCTACAAGCGCCTCATGGATGAGGTTGGACTATCTTCACGTGGAGGCGCTAGGGACAATCATCACGGGCGAGAACATTCGGGTCATTCTGAGAATAAGCAGCATCGTCCCACTTCTCGGCAAGCACAATCGACCATGGATAGGCAGTATAACGGACAGTTCGCACCCGGCCTTCTTGCTCAAAACATGGACAACACAAGGTCCATTTCTGAGCAGCAACCAGGCGCTGCGCCATTCGACCCTTATTCGATCAATGCTGTCAATGGCATGAGCCCCACAGGTGCGGTCAACTCTCTTAACGGACTTGCTGGAATGAATGGTGCTGGGTTTGTCCAGGATCCCCTGCTGCCCCTCACTCAGCAACAGCTGCAATATCAAGCTTACCTAGCCGCCCAATCCCGGGGCGTCTCGCCCGCTGGTCTTTATCCTACTCTGGGTAACCCCAGCTTTGGCTACCCAGCCGGAACACCGTCCTTGGACAGTCTTCGACAGTCTGCTCCTATGCCTGGAACACCCGCTCAATTACTGAACCAGCAAGCCTTTGCTCCTCAGCAGTTCAGCCCTGTCATGGGCACGCCCCAGATGTATCAGTATCCTCCTCAATTCTATTCGCAAACACCTCAGGCCCCTGGACAGTCGGCTGGGGGACGTCGCGGACGTGTAAGTTCACCTCCAGATGGTCGATATGGTGCATGACCTAATTGTGTTGCTTAGCGTTGATTTTGCATGTTCGACCATCTGAACCAACTTTGTGATGAAAGTCTACGCCTTGTACAAATTTATCTCTTCCTGTTTGTTTTCAGCATAAATCAAAAACGGAATACCTGCTTTTCTGGAGCGGAACGACCCTACATACCTAGACTGACGCTGGCACGTCTCGGGGAGGGGGAAGAGGAACGACACGTGGAAAAGTATTGCAATTCGTGTCTGCTTGAGAGTTAGCTGGTCTCATACTCTGTCAACGAGTCTTGAAATCACGACAGTCATCCGAGCATACGGTGCGATCATGATCAGTTTTGTCAAATCTAGTTTCATCGGCGGTGGCTACAGCCGCTGCTTGCCTTGAGAGCTCTGACGCCTCACTCAGAGGCAGAGGGCTTATATAGGATTTTTATAAGTTTTTGAATGTGTGACGCGCAGTCATGAGCAGTCTCATGTATAGAATTGTAACACCTGTACAGCAAGTAAGATGCACCATGTTATGTCGTTATCAAGATACTTTAATGTGAAAAGGTCTTTAAATTCCATATTTGTTCCCTATTAATGGTGGCAGCTTCCGGTTTGGTGCTGCTGATATTGCTGACACTTTTGGGGCCTCTGAAAAACGATGATGCTGCGTAGTCGCCGAAATCCATTTACTTGTAACAACACTTTAACCATCGAACTTGGGATCAACTTGGGAACCACACCATGGGATGATGCCACAACACTCCATCCTCTACCAAAATGCAGAAAAAACGATCTTCTTGATTGACATCCCGACGTCGATCGCATCCGCACAGGAACTTACACCGGTGCAGTTGGGAGCCACGCTGTGCAATCTCTACCCTACCGGGAATGGGATAGATAATCACAGAAAACGTCTTCTCTTATCTTCAAAACCCCTAGAGAAGCCGTACGCAGTATCCACAGAGCCCAAATCAGATGTTGCGAGGGCTAGAGTTCTCAGTAGAATTCCCGTCTCTGAACGGACCTACCAGACCGAGATCATTGAGCCTCTAGTTCGGAGGGCATTGCAGGAGATTAGCCGCGCCCACTCGCACTCTGCAGACTGGTGTCGCGCGAGAAAGATCCGAGGGGAAGAGACGCGGCTGAAGAGGAAACAAGATGGAGCATGGAGCAGAACATCCTCGTGTGAGGATGGGTGCTCAGAGGAGGATGCGCTGGGTGTACCTGCTCCTACCGGCCCGCCGGTTATCCTGTCGCCTGGGATAAATATGTTCGGATCCAGGCCGGAACTTTGCAACGTTATGGTTAGGAATACGTCTTCGGCGCAAGCCTTGCTAGATGTCCGCTGCAAGGCGGAGCCCGAGCCCGAGCACCGTGAGCAAACGACCACGCATCGGCATGTCTTCTTCGTGCCGCCATTGTCTACTTTCTTACTGTGCTCGCTGCCGCTATCGGCTGAGGACGAGGCGAGCGAAGGCCCTATCCCGGGTTTATCTCCGGACCGCAAATTCAACTTGATCCTCCTCGATCCGCCGTGGTCGAACCGCTCCGTTCGTCGCAGCGGGCATTACCAGACACAGTCCTATTCTGACGTGGGCTTACTGTCTAAGCGCATAGGGGATATTCTGAAGGTCCACCTACCGGACAATCCGGAGTGTGTATCCATCGCTGCAATCTGGATAACCAACGGGTCAAAGGCACGCAGGGCTGCATACGACGCCATTAAGGGAGCAGGGTTGTCCGTGCACGAGGAATGGGTGTGGATCAAGACGACAACAAAGGGCGAGCCCATCACGCCGCTGGAGGGGCTATGGCGGAAGCCGTATGAGATCCTTGTTATTGGAAGGAGAGTGGATCGGCCGTCTGATGCGATTGAACCTATTACGCGGAGGGTCATCGCGGGCATGCCGGATGTGCATTCTCGAAAGCCAAATCTCAAGGAGGTTTTTGAGCAGGTATTCTTCTCGAGGTCAGGGTCTAACCGGAAGACGGGCGATACTTGTACGGCATATTCTGCGTTGGAAGTATTTGCGCGTAATTTGACTGCTGGTTGGTGGGCCTGTGGGAATGAAGCTTTAAAGTTCAATTCAAAAGACTGGTGGGTTGAAGCCTAAGGTTTATGTACTTCCAGTGGTGGGTTATTTAATGCGCTTGTACATATCTTGTGTAGCTACCTCTTAAACACTGATTTGGCATGATATCAAGGTCCATCTGGGATATGGAACAGCAGCTTCGGACTGCTATGATGCACTGAATCTGATTTTCTGGGAAGACAGTTCCAACGCCCGAGACGCCTGTAGGTGAGGCATGATAGCCTCCCAATCTGTCTACTGTACACATCCGTAACATACCACGCAATGATGAACCACTTCAACCATCAAAGCCCCGTCAACAGCCTCAATCAAAAGAAGGCCCCAGGCTAACCAGACTGAATCTCAAATCTGGATTACCCGCCCGAACCTCCGTCTGCAGAAACCTCCTGACCCCCAACTCCAGCGCCTTATCACTCAACGCATCTTCATCATCCGCCAACCGTCCCCTCTCCAACGGCCCTTTTCTCCTCCCATCAAGCTCCCACAGCCGCCCATCAGACCCCTTCACAAACGCAACAAAGTGCAAATCAACGTTATCCTCAGCCTGCGGCGCAGCCGTATCCCCTAACCGCGCCGCGTCCGCATGCGCACTCTCCAACGCCTTACTCTCATACAGCAAATCTGCCCTGGCGATGGGGCCCAGCGGCTCGGCTTCGCGCAGGAGCGTGTCCAGATCAGAGCCAGGGATGACGTGTTTGCGCGGTTCACCGTTCGCCACGGCGTGCAGGAGTCCGATCAGCCCGCAGGCGTTGCGGATCGTTTGCTTGAACCACATTACTGGCTCTCCGGGTCCGGAGCCGGTGTATTCGGAAAAGGGTCCGTCTTCAGCGACGCGGGAGGCTTCGTAGGACGGAGTGACGGGGAAAACGAGGAGAAGGGCGTGTGAGGGGCGGGGGACGAGGGCGAGGAGGTCGGGCTCGTCGATGGAGTAGACGTCTGTGAACCCGAGGGTGGGTGGGAGGCCCAGTTGGTGGACGAGGTGGGACATGACTTCTGGGTTGTTTTCTACGGAGGTATTAGTATTTAAACTTTGGATCGTTGATGAGCTGGGAGATATAGTACTTACCAAGAGGCACGAAGGCCTTGTTTGTGTTGGGGACATCCACATGCTCTGTCATGTTGGGTCGAGTGTTGAGGGGTCTTGTACACTGTTGATTGAAAGCTTTGTAGATTACAGATCAATCTGAGCTCGGAGTTTGTCGAAAATAGATTATGGAAGGATTGTTGGGGGTTGGTAAAAAGATGGAACTGACGGTTGCGCAGTGAGGGGTGATTGACGTCGCTTTGCGGGGTTGAAGATATTCCGTTTCGGGAAATACATACATACGACTGTCTCACGCCTCCACCTACTGGGCTTATCTAGAAAACAATGAGCTACCCGCAATTTCAGGAACCCAATGGATACAGCTTTTTGGGAGCATAAAGGTGCTTGGAGCGTCAGTTGTGAATAGATTTGCTTAGAAGACTATCTAGTATAATGGTCATTTCTCCTTCATATGACGAACGTTCAACGCATTCTAGCATAATTTTAAGTATCATCAGCCATGACTATCACACTCTCAGTTCCCAATTGCCGGCTTCGACCCATTCTTCAGGGGGTAGAAGACGTTCGTCCACAGATCGCTGGCTTCTCCGAGGTAGTATGTCAAACTGACATCCGCCATGCTTGCACCTTGGTCCCCTGACAGAGTCTCCAATTGAGAAATGAGGTTTTCCAGCCCAAAGGCTTTCCCTGTTGCTTGTGTCGCACCCGCCTCAAGCATGACGTTGACCACGTGGATGTGGAAATGGTAGTAGGTCGGTTGGTCTAGCATCGCAAATAGTACACTCCGTCAGCCCAGGCAAAAAAACCACCCTAATGAATGATACTTACAATGAACGTACAGCTTGAGCTGGTCCTTCTCCAATTCTGGATACATCTTCACTGTTCCCTCAAGCAGCCTCTGCCTCAGATACCGTAACCAGGGAATATGCTTCTTTTTGAGATCACGGAGACTCCAGATATCTCGTCGCTGCACAAGAGCGAGCAGATGCAGAGAGCTCATAGTTTTCCGGTCCCAGTTGAGGTCAGGGAGCATCAGGAACCCATCATCGGGACCCTCGCCCGCGTCTCGGAGAATCACGTCCTCCTGCTCCGTCCGGCCTTCAAGGATGTTAAAGACCCAGTTCAGTCTACCTTCCTCCCGTTGAGCGCTCATATACGGCCGCACATAGTCACGGTAGATCTCCGGCGTCTCGGTCACCATGCGTAGTTGCTGATCCGAGTACTTTTTGATGTGCTTTTCCGTGCAAGGCCAGATGAGATTCAGTTTGAGATCATGAAACTGCTGTTCGCCCTGGCCTGCGCCTGAATTCGCCAAGTACCATCGGTATATGTCATTGTCGCCGAGATTATTCACTCTGCTGATTGCAGCGTGGAATGCCTTAAGGACTTCGAGGGATTGCGTTGCGAATGCTGCTCGTTCTGCGATCAGAATGCCTTGCTTGCCGTCAATAGACCCGAGTATGGCGATACGGCGGCCACTTTGATCTATGAAGTCCCATAATCAGTTACATGCGGTCAATTCAGTATTTGGTGCGAAGAGTATCAGAGACACCCTTCCTTGTGAGTCTGAAGTTGAGCGGAGATGATCTTTACCTTGCTTGAGGAGTCTGTCGACTTCGAACTTGGGAATCAAAGCCTCAGGGGTGATCTTCTCACCACTGCCGAGGATCTGCATTGTGAATTGGAAGAAGACACTTGAACACAAAGACAATGAAGGCGGCAGTTGGGGATTTCAATGTTATCCCTACCCCAAATCGTTCGGGCAGAACCTACGCTTATCAGGCGGTCAAGAGCTTATCTTATCAAATACACAGACAGGTAACATCTGCAGTATGAATCGTAAAATTTCTATATAGAAAATGCTGTAGAAAGGGCACTAGGCTGAAATGAAGAATCTTGTTGACTGTACACCTAGCAGATACCGGCAGTCGCATCGCCTTTCCAACGACACAACGTGGACACCTCGTTGCAGCGGTGTAATCTCGTTGCCGGGTTGCAGTTTTCAGCCCATTGCTTGCATCAGATGTGAGTAGATATCAACACAACGTAGCGGCTGATTTCCCGGGCAACATTTCGCATCACTCGATTACGGGTCTGGCGCCGATCCGCTAACCTGAGGTGAAAAGAACTTGAACTAGCAGTTCGGTGTTATTCCGATGTTGCTTAGGTGCTCATTGCACCTGCAACTGAGCGGCCAGCGCCTCAAGATCAGATCGCTCAGGCGCTTGGGCCTGCATACAGGCTCGAATGAGTGGTGATAAGCCATTGGTTCAGCTTAAATAGCAGTGAGAATTCAAGTGGAACTTGTCTTTTCGTCGCTGGGCTGCGTATGTAACTGGATTGAAAGTTAGCCACGAGTCTAGGTAATTAACCGTTGTCTCTGCATACCGCTTCAGCCATCTTCAACCATTCTTCGACCCCCTTGACGAATGCATCATCGGCCGCCGGCACCTCTTCATGGCCCCAGACCATGAATTCGTCAAAAGTAGCTTGCTTTTCTAGAACCTTTGTGGGCTCTTCTTGCTCGGGTTGAATATTCTCGGCCTCATATATAGTATCCCTTCTCTTAGGCGGTAGAACACGCTCAGTAGGCTGCACAACTACTCCTGTAGGGATAGGTTAAATAGTGTACTACCGATGGCCAGCAGATGCAGGTCGTACCTTGATAGCCTTCCGGAATCACAACACGTCGGCCTCGAAGTCTGCGTCCTCGGAAGTAAGCAGTTTGTAGGCGTTCATCTACCTGAATGTTAGCAGAAGATTGAGGGAAGAATGACTCCGTATGCTTAACACAACGCTTACCTTTCTCATCCGATACGGGGTCCCAGAAACGCTCTAGCGATCCCACGAACCCATCATGGTGGATTCTACAGGGAAGAATATTAGGGGTGCAATTCTCCATCAACTTCTCATTATCGGCTGCAGATGACTGCTTTTGAGATGCTTGGATGGCGAACATTTCTAAACCAGCTGACGGGAAGACTTGTCGATCACTTTGTGCAGGTTGCGAAGCAATCAGAAGAGGTGTTAAAAATTAATTTTGGCGCTTGTTCAACGCCTGTACTTTTAGAAGGGATGTTTTGCTGTAACAGTGGTTCTTCTTCGGAACGAGCTGACACGACGCGTTACCCGCGTTAAGTGGATAGGAAATGCGCCATCCCCAAACGGTCAAATTGCTGCAGTTTCAATGTAGTATAGACCAGCAGAAATACTTAATGATGCTGGACCAAACATGGAAATGAAATGACGATGGTATATACTGGGTTTAATCAGAAATAGAGAGAAAAAAAAATTCCTGAGTTATCTGATTATTCGAAGCCGGTCCTTCAAAATAGGGATGATGCGATATGTACACAAGAGACAGAAGTCTAGGGGTATATAAGGTCTCCAACTGCAGCTATGAGGTTGCACTACCTCTTACGAGGCTTCTTCTTCTTTTTCTTCTTCTTCTTCTGGTCCTCGCCATTTTCCTTTTTGTCGACCACGAGGCGAATTGGCCACTTCTTCAAATGCTCCCGCTCGAATGCCTCTTTATCTCGTCTATACAGAAGCATCGTAGCTTTAGCATCTTCGACACTAGAGTGCGCCCCGTCCTGAATATTCAAGCCTAGGAATTCCGACGCCAAAATTTTCAGGCGTGGAGAGCCACCACCCGCGATCTTCCGGTAAGGAGGATGCTTGCTTGTGTCTCTGATGTCGCGCTTGGGATGGCCCAGAAGAAGAGCATCCAAGTCATTGCTCACAGCATGTCCAACGAGTATTCGCCCGTCAAGGATCTCTGCAACGTCCTTCTGGACTTGCTCGAGCGACCGAGCCTCCGCCATGTGCTTGGGAGAAATGCCGCTCACATGCGTGCGCCAATCTGTGACCATCTCTTTGGGCCGGACGTACGAATCATATACTTGTTCGCCGTTAAAGTTGACGATACTGACACGCGCGAGGGCAGAATCGGTATCGGGGTTGGGACCGACTCCCA